AAATTGCTGCTGAAAAATATCTCAATTTCAAACTTTTAAAAACTTTGAGACTTTTAGATTAAATAAATAATTTAAGAGTTATTCTTCCTTGTTGAGATTCGGTGTACCTAGTAAACATTTAATTTGTATTTTTTTGAAAAGAATTAATTGATAGAATTAAAACATTTCACTTTTTATTCACTAAAAGAACTGCATGTCGAATTCAGGGAGTCATGTCTTTGAAGAGATTACTACGCAAAACGGATTCTATTCTATCGCTTTCATTTCAGTATTTAGATGAATCGAATCGACAAAGCCTAATCATGTTGATTCCTACGTTTATTCCATATACTTTTATTTTTTTAGCTCATGATAAAAGATACCACATTGTTCGATGCGTCTATATCTGTTTTATATTTGATTCTCTATTAGAAAAGGACGTTTACGATAAGCTGAGAACAAACGTAAAGATTAACGTAAAAATTCAACTTTTCAACTTTTCAAACGTCAACCTCCATGTAGTAGCAATAAAAACATTATCATCTGTATTTGCTGTTATATATTAATTCGATACGCAAGAGTATGCTCTACAAACGAACAAATTCTGAAAAGAGCATTGCTTCTGACAAATATAATCAAGTGTCTCAAATTAAAGTATTGTTTAAAGTCAACATCTTGCAAATTCTATGGTATTATGATGACCTTGTGATGTATAAAAAATCCACTTACATATAAAACATTGTTCTGAAATATGTTATCACTTTTATAAAACTTTATACTGGAAACATTTTGATTTTAGATTGATTTATCAAGTTTGAAGGAAATAATTCTGTTCTATATATTACAAAAAAATTACTAAATTAAATAAATACAGGACATATTGAAAAGCTTTCAATGTATAGGGAGAATAGACACGGAAGTTCGAGTTGTTCATGTTGGACTCTGATTAGTACTGTGATACTAAGGCCATTTTAGGAATTAATAATGGGAAAATTTTTTATTGTTGTAGATAATCACGAACTACGGAAGCAGGTAGGTGCCAGACAGAAATATATTTTATCTGGCCGCCGCCAACTTATCATCTGGCGTCTGCTACAAAAATATTTGACGCCCGATTTATAAAAAGACCTTTGCATCATTATGCCTGGAAAAGGGGCGGGGCCTAATCTATACGGTAAATGTTTACTGTAACGTAACACGAAGATAAGTACATTTTGTATTCCTCATCATACTAGAAAATTAAATATTTTGCAATTTTAAACTGTAATGGCATAATAAATAAACAACATCAAACCTTATCAATGCATTAAAAATATTTGCTAGTTAAATCCCAGCAACATTTTATGAACAAATCACTGATCGCGGCAAACTTGTCGACATGACGTCAAAATGGTAAACATGACGTACATGTATATTTTATGTGCTGTGAAAGGCAGATCGTGTAATATATTTTTTACAATGTAAAATGTATTTTATTATTAAACAGAATATTATTAACAGAGTTTAGATAGGCTATTAATACCAATGTAAAACCTTTGTTTAGTGCGATTATTCAATGATTAGCGAGGGAATGTATGTAATTAATTTTACTGTGTTTATGTGTACAGGTTAGGCATGTTTAACATCGAGTTTGCATATTAAATCGCCTTTTCGCATGGACATACACTTAATAGATGTTAGCCATTTTTGAATATAAATAAAGTATGGTTTCCTTAACTTGAAAAGTGCTGCTGCTTTCTTTAAATCGAGAGTGTGACTTAATAAGGACATAAAATACTCGGTGAAGGTCATACATTTTTCGACTTGGGCATATTTACTTGAAATTTTTACTAATAAAATGTGAATTCTTTATAAAGCAGCAGCACTTTCCAGAAAGTACAAAGTATATAGAAACAAATGGTAACAAACTTTTAGTTTCAACTAGGGTATGCCCTTGTGATGTTAAAATTTGTTTATGACCTCCATTCAGTACATATACTATGCATTTATCACGTGACTGTCCATTGATGGGACCAAACTTAATTCAGTACAGAGTGGAATATATTATGCTATTTCAGTAAATGTTTAAGTTATGTAATAATAAAAACGGCCTTATAAAAATAAATTTAGTTTTAAAAAGTTCCCTTCTTTGTGCGTCTTTTTTCCATTGATTTCTTTATAGTAGGCCTTAACAGTGCTGCGTTACGGCTGCCATATAACTTACCTTGCGACCACCAAATAATTTCAGAGGGGGCTGAAACTTACCCGTCGGACGCCATATCTTTTTTATCAGGCGGCCCTTAGAACAAATATTATTTTTCTACCTGTCTTCAACCCGCTTCCGTAAAGAACGGCCAAGGTAGAGAGATTTGTTATTATTTGATGGATTTATAATTGATTTTCAAATTTATGTTTAAGTTAATATAAAAGACTTACTTTGAAGTGTTATGGTATGCCCTATGCAGTATTCTCTTTTGACAACAAAGCAGCAATATATAAAACTTACAGAGCGCATAAGTAAATACATATATAACCCAAAAAAAATAATAAACAACCTAGGTCCTGGTTGTCTTATTGGGATGTGGAGGAGTGATTTGTGATATATTGTAACTTATTATTTACACAGGTCTATGTCCTTACGTCAAACATAAAAAAACCAATTCCAACATTCGATACTTCAAGTATATCAGTAATTAAATTCCAGAAGCGTTATTAAAAGTTATGCATGTTTGAAACGTATAAAAGTTGTCATGTATAAAGGTTCGCACTTCTTGAGAGGCGAAATAAACAGTAATGAACACTCTATATTTAATGGTGAGATTTTTGAAAAGAAGATCTAACATTAAGATCGGATATGTAATGTCATAATTGGTAAAATTTCTACAATGCGTGATACTCGTAAAAATGTATAAATGACATTTTTTTGTACGGCTAATATGTTTTATAGATATTTCAGACAATAGTCACCGAACAAATTCTGACAATATTATATCATTTTTTGATTCTAAAATTATGTATACAATACAAGTGTTTACATACTTTTAATAATTCTAATCTAAAAATAGATAGTTCATTATCTTTTTTTTTTAATGTTTTCGGCGTTATTTCTAGTACATTTTTTTTATACAAATTAAGAAATTGTCGAATGAAAAGGATGGCTGCACACAACGGATCTGTTTTCTTAGGCGGGATTCATCAGAAGTTTTTCCATATCCGTACGATAATGAGGAAGCCCAGTTTTTTACGGACTTTATACATAGTCAGCACATGTTTGTCTATTGTTCTCCTTTTAACAATAGTTGTATAATTGAATTAATAATGTATGTTGTGTTAAAAGGAGTCTAAATGACAAACATGCACTCATGGTTCAAAAGAAAAGAAAATGCTTCTACTTACACTCGCCATCTCTGTTGTAACGAAGGGATGTGACATGCTGAATATTAAAATTCACCACGTGATACCTTTCCTCAGGTAATTTTGTGAATACGAAATTCCGTCACGTGACTTATTCTTAGCATGTTTAGCTAACGAAGACACTGTGTTCGTACACGTTAAAGATTCGGCCATCGATTTAAAATATTCTGCACTTACATGGATGGGCTAATACGTTTTGAACCTTTGTAAATAATGTACTTGTATCATACAGACTAAATAAGACGATGGAAATTAGAGATCTCGTATTTTTTATTTAATGTCATTGTTATTCATCCAGTCAAATTTTAGATTTATTCTTACGATACTATCCCCGCCTCTCATACTTATAATGTTCAATTAAGGGCAGGTAAGTGTAAATTATTTGTAATCTTAAAACCGTAAGGACAAAAACATGAAAAGAGTTCTTGTATTACAGTCTAAAATTATTTTTAACATTCAGATTGGGTGTCTAATTGACAGACCACTGTAGTAAATCTATAAAAGTACATTAGGTCAAGATTTGAAAGCAACAAAAACGACCGAAAAAAGACCAAAAGCACAGCGTTAAGTGCAGTCATTTAAAAAATTCAGATTATGCATTAAATAACATGAATAAGGGTACAATATTTAGATTTTTATTTTTCAAGAGAGAAAACAAATTTCCATATACGGGTATATATTTATGTAAAGAAAGAAAACCCATGTATTAATATATGAATTTTAAAATGATTTTTCACCAAGAAAAAATCTGAACCACTATTGGACCTGATAGAAGAGAAAAAAAAAGATAATCGGCATGAAATTTGAATAAAAGTGTGTGTTACATCATCAAGGAAGTAAATCAGACAACTAATACTCTTACAAAATGCAATGGAATTATATCATGATAGTTAGTCACGTGTGAAAAGTCTGTTCACAAACTATATAAGGTTATGCATGTAATACTGCTGATCATAGTAGGAAAATTATCTGTTGACTTGAAAATGATTTCTATATTATGTAGAATCGTTGTTCTTCATATCGATGCTGCTAAAGGAGAAGCAATTCGTATGTATCTGAATATTGATGAGTAATCTTTACTTTTTTTTCTAGAACTTAGTACATGTACATTGTAGGAGTGCATCGCAATTTTTTTTTTTTTTTTTTTTTTTGCAAAAGCAGTTGTTCGTGCTCGCCCAATTATATTGGAAGAATCATAGGTTCATTATCCTTATTTTAAAATGTTCATAGATAAAAGGAGGTTTGTACTCTTATAAGCAACGGAAACCATTGCTGTTAGACTATTTGTTTTAATACCTTTTTCATATAAAGGATAGGGTATAAAAACACTGTTGTTTTTAAAAGTCTCAAAAATAAAATTGCTTAGTAAAAATGTATGAAAATCGAATCCATTTGGCCTCTTTAGTTATATTAATTATTTATTTGAAGAATGTAAAAATATACATTTATTTCCGCAGGTTATTTTTATTATTTTGTTTATTTAACAATATTTTGTTTTTCTGAAAGAAAAATTAAAAATTCAGCTTGTAGTTTATTTAACAGTCTTTGCCTTTAATTGAAGCTTAGTTGTCTTTTTGGACTCGCATCTATTATGGTCATTAATACCGAATAGTTTTTTTTACGTTTAAAGAGTGTCCTCTGGGTTACACGGGCTTCAATTGTTCCATGGAGTGCCGCTATCCTGGATATGGCAAATCCTGTCAAGAGCACTGCAATTGTTCAGAAGAGTTGTGTGACATATCAAGAGGCTGTCCAGGTAACTATTCTTACTATAATTGACTGACAATTTCCCTTATAAATTCATATAGTCGATGTAAATTTATATATTGTATATATTTTTCCTTTATATTTTATGTATCAGCAAGACATTGTAACAGTCCCTATCATTTTTACAAATGAAATTTGTATAACCTTTCATGTTAAGATAAATGTTATTGATTTTTAGTTTTAGATTCACCTCAAAATGAAAAGATGCTTCAAGAAATAAATTCTACTAAATCTGAAGGAAAGAGCAAAAATCCAAATAGTGGGTCCCAGTTAACAGCAATTCTCACCGGTGTTGTATCTTTCTTGGCTCTCTTGGTATTCATTGTCGCTGGAAGAATAATCTGGAAAAGATTAAAACAATCAAACCCTAGGATTGTTCAAAGAAAGCAAGGGTTAGGAAATCTTGAAAAAGAGTCTGAAAGGAGAACTGAATATGAAGGCACGATAGAAAACTTTTACGAAGACATGGACGAGAACAATAGAGTAGAAAGTAGAAAAGAATGTCTACTTTCTTCAGAAAATGATTATATTGAAACGCTGACTTTCCTCAAGAAAGAAAATAAATCTGACAATCGAGAATCCAGTCACTTTTACGATGCTTTAAAATGACGAAATACAATCAAAAATTTCATTTTGTTTTTAAAAAAAAAATGTGGACATGGAGTGACAATCCAAGACATCTGTATATTTTCTATTTTTTTTACTGAGGTGTCCAATATTCACAAAGACCTTTTTTATTATATGATTAAATGTTTAAATGACACAGTCCCAGTCAAAGCGTTATGAGAGAAAATCGGTTGAAATAATCCTCACCAAATACATGTATATCAATTTTGAATTCAATAAATTAAAAAAAAAAATAAATAAAATAAAAAATGTTTTGTTGTACATGTGGACTCGATCAAAATAAATTTCGCTAAGAAAACTCCTATTTCAATTGTATACTAAAGATCTTGTGGTATTATAATCTTTTCTATTCTATATTCATTCAGTCTCTTAGGGCGTCATTACTAATTCTAAATCAAGTTGAACTGCTCTCCGGTGCACTGTAACGTCATCAAACGTCGCAATTGTGCATTAAAAAGCTGTTAATTTTTATCTCAATCTTATTTATTGTTATGTATTTCGAAATACATTGCAATAATCATGTATTCTCTGATAAAACTCGGGGATTTTTATTGTGCGCCTAGGACAGTACCCTGTGCACATTCAAGCATACTAAAAAAATTATTTTTGTCTATATTTTATAACAGAAAATTATCATGAACCTAAATATAATAAATATACATTTGCTGAAAACTTCAGTTTAGTGCGGCTATTATCCTTCGAGAAAAACCGTTCACGGTAGCTCAGTCGGTAGAGCGCTCGCTCAGAGATCGGGAGGTCGTGAGTTCGCATTTCGGCCGCGACTGACCTTAGTCGATAAAAAATGGGTAGCAACTGTTCCTTCGCCATGCGCTCGGCACTTTGAAGTGAAAGTTGCGGGTCCTTCGGATGAGACCTTAAAAACCGAGGCCCCGTGTCAGCGGCAGGCGTTGGCACGATAAAGATCCCTCACTGCTCAATGGCCCTGAGTGCCGAGTAAAAGTCAAAATTTGAAGCCTTTCACCGGCATACGGTGACGTCTCCATATGAGTGAAAAATTCTTGAGAGGGACGTTAAACAATATACAATCAATCTATCAATCTTTCGAGAAAACCGATTCGTCCACGATTTTATCGGACACCCCTCCTACAACATGCATGAGAATAATAATTCATACAATTTAATGCGCATAGATTTGTGTATGACCTTTTTGCACCAAAAATATCAAATATGGAGCATAACAAATCTGTATTAGACAATAGAATATTTTCTTGTGTATAACTTTTAATGACTTAGATGCTGATTGTCGAAAGTATCTTACAGTTTTAAAAAATGAAAGAGGAAATGAGGTTGTTGATGTAAAATTTGAGACGCTGGTCAAAATATGCAATCTTCCGACAGAAAAATGTAAATTTTATTAAATCAGGAAGTTTAAAGAAGTTAAAGGCGAAACACGTTTTTATAATGAGTTACTGGAATATGAAAATGAAGAAATAACGAACATAATTGAAAATCAATCCGAGGAATGGGAATTACATCTAAATTGATCCAGTTGCAATAAACATGAACTCTTCAAATATGTCAAAAGTTTACTAGGGTGTATATGCTAGTTTGTAAATCTTTAACATGTATTTATCAAGATAATATTATATTACCTATTTTCAACGGCAATATTTTTTTACTTAAACATTTTCTCTCAAATAAAACGAACAAGTATCCCCATATTATTATTATTTTCTTTTTTGTAAAAGTAAAATTTAACAAAATGAATGTTACGGACTTTGATATTTTTTATGCGCGCGAATTTTTTTCGGGGCGCATATTGTTTTTCCTATCTGTCTGTTTGTCTGTCTGTCTGTCTGTTTGTCTGTTTATCTGTTTGTCTGTTTGTCTGTTGTCTGTCAGTTGTCAACTTTAACCTTCGCCACAACTTTTGAACCGTACAAAATAAAGACTTCATATTAAGTATGCATACTCCACTAATTAAACACTTTCAACTGCCACAAAGATCAATGACCTTGTGACCTTGACTGTAACCTTTATGCTAAAAATAGCTTTTTCGAACTTTCGCCATAACTTTTGAATCGTGAGAGATACAGACTTCATATTTGGTATGCAATGACCTTGTGACCTGTACTGTGACTTATATGGTAAAAAGAACTTTTTTTCAAATTTTCGCCATAATTTTTGAACCGTGAGAGATAGAGACTTCATGTTTGGTACGCATACTCCACTTATTAAGTACTTTCAACTGACACCAAGGACCTTGACCTTGACGCATACTCCACTTATCAAGTACTTTCAACTGACACCAAGGACCTTGACTGATACCCATTTGCTAAAAATTGCTTTTTAGAACTTTGTTGCTGCCGGGCGCATAGTGTTTCACAAACACATCTTGTTTCTTTTTAAACTTTCCCGTGCATTAACTGAAATACGTATAACATTTATGCAAACTATTATAAGATTGAATGAATGTGATCACTTTTATGCCTCCTATGAAACATCAGCTGGATAGTGCAGTGAAACAACCAAACACAGACATGCAGTTTTGTCTAATATGTCATTTAATTAAACGACATAAAGTAAAATTTATAACAAATCATTAAGGGGGATCACCTAATATTAAACAATACATGTTACATGTACATAGGTGAAAGGTACAAGTGTGATCCCCATGTGACTGACTAGAAATTTACATGCAGTGAACATATCAGAGTACGTGTAAATATGCATAAAATATAACATGAATGCGTAAATCCTTGGAGGCGTCCAAACAATTGCGCCAATCAAGAAACGTTTGACAAGTTATTAGAAAAATACAAATTTTGGACTAAAATGCAAAATATTATTAAACCAAAAACCGCAAAAAAGGGTGGGTGGTGTTTTTTTTTTTAACGCACTACGAAGCTTACAAAAGAAATGGCGCAACAAAATCAAGGAAATTGATTGGGTTACTCTGTCAAGGAAAGCAAATGTTGCGATTTCGCAATGAAAGGTTATTTGATAATTGCGGTGTGAGAAAGGCGCATATCCTGTAGACTGCGCGGGATATGCGAAATTATTAAGGTATAAAATATAATATATTTTTCATCAGCATAAATTGAATGATCTGTGGTAATATTGTTTATTTTTATGCATTTGTTTCCTGGTGTTTATCCCAAAGCTTTCTCAAAAATACTGCATTCTCGGCGCTAAACAATAATAATCAATCAATCCCGTTGGTCAATATTTTGACAGAAACCGGAATTTGAAATTTAACAGAGTTGTGCCCTAAAGACTTAAAATCGTACTAAAGGTGTCTTATAAGCATATATTTACATATTTTCTATTTTATTACTTTTGATACAAACCATCCAGTAAACGTTATTGACTGAATTAAATGTGTATATAAGACCAGTTCTCTGTAAAAATCAAACAGATTGAAAAAAGGTTGGCCACGACATCTCTGATTTTTTCAAACTTGGCATATAGGACCTTCCTAGGGTAAAACTCATTTTGGCATACTTTTTTTTTTGGACATTCTGTTACCATGGTAACCAGAATACAAAAATCCTACCAAAAAGGCTATTTGTGCATGGGAATCTTGCTAAATCACCTTTTTTTCACCATTGTTAACCCTTTTAAATTAAACTGGTTAAAATTTTTTTTAAAACTATAACATAACACTCTAATGTATATTTTATTGTGTTAAAGATTTATTTGAATATTTTGTAATACTTTGTCAAACAATGGCAAAATATCAATTTTTTGAAATTTATCAAAACTAAAAATAAACATTTTGAGAAGAAAAATAAAAAATTAGCAGAACTTTCACAATGTATCACTTATTTCATCTGAAGGTACTTGTCACAAATAATGAAAATATTCAAAAACATTCATGGGCAAATCAAAAAATGTTGACTATAACAAATTAAACAATCATAAAATTGGCATTTTGCAAAAAAACGGCTTTAACTTATATTTCA